GAAATATATCTTAGCAAGTTTTCAGGTTGAACAACCCTTTGTCAGGCTGAGGAAGGACCTGCAGTTGGTGTGTGTGCTGTTCCTGGATGGAGTAAAGAAGTCAGAGACTGGCATGCAATGCAGGCAGGAACGCCAGTCAGTGAAAATGGAAATGGAGGTGTCAAGGGGTGAGGGTCAGGGTGGGGTTGGAGGGGGGAGGGAGGGGGATGTAGCAGTGCAGGTAAAAGTGGAGAGGTACCTGGGGAGTAGGATGTTTGGCAGGTTTCTCACCCCCCCCGCCCACCCCAGCCTGTCCCTCACCCCCTGATGCGTCCATTTCGATTTTCACTAACTGGCTTTCCTTCAAGTTCGTCTTGGCATGGAAGTTTCAGGAGGGACATGTTCCCCTGCTGGCTGGTGATGCAGTGAGTGCCCCCTCCAGCTCTGAGAGCGGGATATTAAATATTTTTTAAAAAATGAAAAAAGGAAATAGGTGCAGACAGAGTGAGGAGGGTGGCATTCACTCCATCTACACCTGGAGCTTGGGGAGCCCCAGCAGTGGGAGGTTCACCTTGAGGAACACCAGCTGCTCCACCAACGTAGGATCCAAGCAGGTGTGGAGGGGTGTCACAACACCCACAGCAATGCTGAACACTCTCATGCTCGGAACACTGGCTGATGGACAGGACAGGTGTGTGAGGGGGGGAGGGGGGGCCTGTGACCCCCACCAGGAAAGCCATACCATTGACCCACATTGGCAGCACCTGTGGTGGAGGAGGAGACTGTATGGTGGATGGCGTGCTAGCATGGGACGGTGGATCCCACCCTTCCACATCCCCCTGTCTCCACTGTTCTGCCTCCCTGACTCTTTGCCAGCACCTCTGTCCACTGATCCAGGGTTTGGGTGCTACATACTGTACCTTTCATCCTCGGGTCACACACAGTAGCCAGCATATGGACCGTACTGGACCACAAGGGATCAAGCCATTTCCTGATGCCCTCCTTCAGCTGCTTCACCAGTTCCTGCATGTCTGGTGACAGTGGCTTTCCCCAGCCAGGAATATTGATCCCCTGGAAGAGGGAGGGGGATGTAGCAGTGCAGGTAAAAGTGGAGAGGTACCTGGGGAGTAGGATGTTTGGCAGGTTTCTCACCCCCCCCGCCCACCCCAGCCTGTCCCTCACCCCCTGATGCGTCCATTTCGATTTTCACTAACTGGCTTTCCTTCAAGTTCGTCTTGGCATGGAAGTTTCAGGAGGGACATGTTCCCCTGCTGGCTGGTGATGCCGTGAGGGCCCCCTCCAGCTCTGAGAGCGGGATATTAAATATTTTTTAAAAAATGAAAAAAGGAAATAGGTGCAGACAGAGTGAGGAGGGTGGCATTCACTCCATCTACACCTGGAGCTTGGGGAGCCCCAGCAGTGGGAGGTTCACCTTGAGGAACACCAGCTGCTCCACCAACGTAGGATCCAAGCAGGTGTGGAGGGGTGTCACAACACCCACAGCAATGCTGAACACTCTCATGCTCGGAACACTGGCTGATGGACAGGACAGGTGTTCCCGGCAACCGTGGCCAGATCTAGCCACATCTGGCTGCAGCTTGCCCAGTAGACCAAGGGGTCACCCAGCAGCA